TTTAGGGTTTAGAGGTGGGGTTTTAGGGTTTAGGGTTTTAGGGTTTAGGGTTTAGGGTTTTAGGGTTTAGGGTTTAGGGTTTCGGGTTAGGGGCTTGGGGTTTAGGCCTAAGGGGCAGCTCGACGTGGGGCTATAACCCCCCCTAGATATGCGACATCATTTGCATTGTCTGGTGTGTGCGTTCTTCTGTCTATGGTTCCTATTGTACATACTTTACCTGATAAGAACGATATGATCTTACTCGTTTCTTACTCTGTTAGGGGCATACTATAGTATCCCCATTGGTGGACTTGATGCCTAAGCATCATGATGCGGTGCCACATTCCCACCGTCACATTTCGACCCCAAAGCCTAAGCTTTAATGCGCAACAACGCCCGACTCTCAGCAAGACAACTTTCCGCGTCGTTGTATGACCTGACAACCCTAAACCCTAAACCCTAAACCCCATTCTAAACCTCCATCCCAAGAAGTTCTATGCAGGTAGACAAATATCTGGGCTTCTCTTTCCCTTTAGGGTTTCGGGTTTAGGGTTTAGGCCTACGCCTGAAGCCCGAAAGCCTAAACCCGGAAAACGGAAGATTGTTCCCTGCTTCGGGCACCAATGGACCCTAAACCCTAAACCCTGAACCCTAAACTCTAAACCCTGAACCCTAAACTCTAAACCCTGACCTCTAAACTCTAAGCCCTAAACCCTAAACCAAAAGCTCCAAACCCTAAACCACATGCTTCAGGCACCAATGGCTGAAGCTATCCGGCCGCATCATCGCATAGAAGTGCTTATCAGGGGGCTCCAAAATGAGAGAAAAAGGTTCAGAGTGTAGATCTTAAGGATTAGGGTTTTCAGTTTAGGGTTTAGGGTCGAGTGGTTCAGGGTTTAGGGCTTCCTCAGCCCGCCAACCTTCAACCAATCTTTTGAGCCCCCGTACTTTAGGCTAGGATCCTCCAGTGATCAGGTTAAGGGTTTAGGGTTTAGGGTAACAACCCCAATAATGGAGACCCAAATGGACAAGAACGTGGCCTAAATAACTAGAATAGGGTACCAAAGTTGATTTTTATATCCCTACGTCCTGAAGTGGTGCTTGTACAGTTTTTTCTCCGAAAGACTAGTTACCTTGGTGACAATGGAAACTCACAAGGTGTAGATAAAGAGCTTGGGATTGAAAATGGGCTAGCAGCTCCAGGCAGATTCCGGAATAATGGCGAAGATTTTTCAGGCTTCTGTATGATATAGAGATGAGTCTCACCGTGCAAGGTATCGCTCGTAAGTTTGAAGCCCTAAACCCCAAACCCTAAACCCTAAACCCCTAAACCCCTAAACCCTAAACCCTAAAACCCTGATGCACGTCCAGCGCGTTTTCCTTCCCTGCCATGAGATCTCGGAGCCCTAAACCCTAAATAAGCTACGAAGGGCTGCTTTGCATTTTCTCGCAAAGAAAGCCAGAGAGAGCGCCCGGACGTCGGCCACCTTAGTAGGGTTTAGGGTTTAAGGGTTAGGGTTTAGGGTCTAAGGGTTTAAGGGTTTAGGGGTCTAAGAGGTTAAGGGTTTAGGATTTAGGGTTGCGTGCGGAATAGCAACCAGTTGGGTATGCATGTTTAGAGGTGCTTTTCAGAGCTTCAAGGCAATGTCGCACCGATGATTGCTAATAAGTGGGTCGAGTCTGGATCAGTTACCCTAAGCCCTACATCCTAAACCCTAAAGCCCTAAATCCTAAACCCTAAACCCTAAAACCCTAAAAATCCTAAGCCCTACAAACCTTAAAAACCTTAAACCCTAAACCCTAACCCCTAGACCCTGAACCCTAGCAACCCCAAATCCTGAACCCTCGAGGTTCTACAGAAGTATATGTGCTTTAGTCTAAACTCCTAGTATCCCCCTTAATAAAGCCTATAGTAGTCCCCTATATAATCCCCCATATAATCCCCTTTAAGTAGTTTAGACTATAGCCGAGATGAGGCAGATGTGCGTCTAGGGTTTAGGGTTTAGGGGTTCAGGGTTTAGGGCAGGAACGACAGGCCAAGTTATATGACTTATAGTCTAAACTCCCAGTATCCCCCTTCCCAGAATAGGATGTATAGTTGAGGGTTTATAGTTCCCCGTAAGTAGATAGAATATGGGGTATATAGGGATCTTATTATAATATACCTCAAGCCATATTCTATCTACTTAAGGGTGACTATAGGTTACGGGCTTTGGATTTAGGGTCTAAACTCCTAGTATCCCTCCTTAATACCCCTATAATAGGAACTCTTCATAATCTCCTACATAACCCCCCTTTGAGGAGTTTAGATTATGGCTCATATACAACTGCGACTGTCCTACAGCTCTTTCGGCTTGCGCCCACGCATTAACCTCCCCAAGCGGGCATTATGATCGGGCACCAGCAGATTTGAAATGCTGCTCAGCCAAAACCCGACGCCCTAAACGCTACACTGCGGATACTCAGACGGGGGAAGTCCCATTGATACAAGTACAGGGTTTCGGCCTGTCCTGCTTCCCCAGAGCATGGTTCAGATCTGCACTGGCGGTTAGTAATGAGAAACAACAACGTAGCACAAGTCGTGTTGAGGACCCCCCCACGTAGGTACCAAGGTACTCAGATGAGGGAAGGTCCTAAGTTACAAGAAGAGATAGTCCCAAAACCTCAGTTTAGGCTTTGGGAGTTTAGGGTCTAGGGTACCTTAGCGTTGAGCATTTGGACCCTCTAAATGAAGGTATCCTTAAGGGTCCAAGGACCCAAATAATAGGGTTTTAGGGCCCAAATGCCATTAATGTTATAGTATCTGGGCCCTGAAACCCTATTATTTGGGTCCTTGGACCCTTAGGGTTAGACTCTTATTATAGGTACCTACGGGTTAACCCTTACTAGGCGCCCGAAGTGCCACGTAGAGCAGTCTGTCTTGCAAGAGCTTAATGG